TGGATTTCGTATCCAATCATACTTTTCAATATTTAATTCAGGAAAGTATTTCGTGATTTTTTCTTCTAATAATGCTAAATGTTCTGTTATAATAGGAATTATTTCATTATTATTTTTAATTGAAGGAAACATGTCTACAGTATTTTTTTGAATTATACGTGTTCTCCAAAAAGATATTTTTTTTAAAATGTTAATAGTTTATCCGTGGATGTAAGAATATTTTCGTTTTTACCTTGCATGCCAGCATTTACGCTATTTAAATAATTAAAAATATCAGCTAAATATGCCATTTTAACACACCAAATATCGTCTGTAAGAAAAGATATAAAAACAGTGTTACCTTCGTTTTGAAAAAACATTAACAATTCATTCTTAAGTTCCAGAATTCGATTTAGAACTTTATCTCGCGATAACCATCTTACTTCACAATGTAAAAGTAAACATACGTGCTGAGCTTCCATTGATTCACACAGTTTTTTAAATAGGCGTGATTGTAATGGACGCGATTTTATGTAGTTAACCATGCTTATAATTTTATCCAATACAGACTTTAATGTAATAGGTAATGTTTTCGAAATAAGTGATTCTCGGTGTAAAAAACAATGTGTAGATATGATATTAGGATTTTTTTTCTTCGCTAATGTTGTAAATCCTTTAATAGAACCAACCATTGAAGGAGCTCCATCGGTGCAGATTCCTACACATTGGTCCCATGTTATGTTAAATTTATCTAAATATGACGAAATTGAATCAAAAACATTCTGTCCTGTTGTACGTTCAGTAAGTTGTTTACAGCATAAAAATTGATTCACTATTTTATTTTCATCAATGAAACGAACAAATCCTAGTACGTGAGCTATACCACTGATATCAGTAGACTCGTCAATTTGCAAAGCGAAATATAGTTTATTAGTAGTAAGTTTGTTAGTGACAGTTTTCTCAATATCATCTGACATGTGTATAATTCTGTTTTTTATTGTATCGTCTGAATGCGGAATTTTCATAATTTCTTTTTTTGCATCATCGCCAAACATAATTTGAACTATTTCTGAACATGCCGGTAAAATCAAACTCTCTGCTATGGTGTGTGGTTTTAACTGTTTTGCAATTATTTCGGCAACTTTATAAGATGCGATTTGTGCTTTATCAGATATTGTTACAATTTTTTTAAAATGTTTTCTTTGATTCATTTGATTATTCAACAACCTTTCAAAATAATTTTTTTCTTTAGACTGGAGATTGGCGTGCTTAGATGAAAAATGCCGTTTTAATTTCGCTCCCGCCATTGCGCTATTAGACAACTTTTCCCCACAAACCACACAAAGGGGAATTTGACAATCATTTTCGTCAACATAAGTGAACCCAAAATTTAAATAATCGTTGCAATATTGTCTATTGACCTTTTTTATTTTATTCTCATCATTGAAAGTATCATCATTGACATTGCTTGTATTTGTACTTGCACTATCAGTACCAGAATCATGTTTCCGTTTAAGAAATTTGTCCATTTTGTTATTAAAATGGTCGTTACAAATTAAATTAATTAACTAAATAAATTTCAAATTGTACTTACTCAAAAAAATAACAGAATCCTTATTTATGAAGTTGTACACGCGTCTAACGTTGATAACCGTGGGCAACGTACTAATACTAATGTATTTTATAACTTTTATTAGTGCAGAAAATAAAATTGTCAATATCTATACGTATGTTATCGCAGTATGGTGGAGATTATCGTATAATATAATAATAATAATGTATATTAATATATTATATAGTATAGTAGTATACTGACACATTATATTATTCGAAAGTTAACGATAACGTTTTTGTGTACAAAAATAAACCAACAAAACCTAAAATGATTCTATTTTTGAAGAAATTTTTTTTTCACTGATTTTAAAATTTTGTCGGAACACTTATACGAAGTCCACGGAACACCGGTTAAGAACCACTGATATAAACTAAAGAATTATAATTTTTATTAAAAAATTGAGTATTTTCATACATTCCATCCTAGAGTTCTTAGAATGTCACGACGAGACCTTAGTCAAATATTGTAACTCCACAAATTTAAAATGAACAAAGTAGCTTATTAAATTTAAGCAACTTAGGTTAGAACTGAAATTATTTCAATTCAAAGTTGCAAATTATATTAATTGCACTAACTAAGTGTGCTATTTATTATTTCGACTGCCATCGCTGCTTATTGTCCTCGACTTTTAAACTGAAATTTAATTTAATTTTAATTAAATTTTTTTTTTTTTAATCTTGACTTAATGATTTTTAATGGTCATTTATTCTGTCATATATTTAGAAGTCGATAACTAATTTTTAACAATATTAAGGTACCTAGGTAACAATGTTGCGCAAAGATCACTAAAAATGTATCTAGATAAAGATACAATAATTAATAATAATAATAACAATAATTAGATACAATTTATCTAGATAAAGATAAAAGATAAAACACTATTTTTTTGGATAAGAAAAAGATAACATTTTTTTATTTTATTAATTCATTTACACTTTTACTTTTTTATAAATTTATACTTAAAAATCAAATTAAAATTAACTTAACTTTGATATAATAAGTACTTCCAATATAAATTATGAACAAAAAATATTTATATTATGTAGAATTATGTATGAGAAATAAGTATTAGTACTTAGTTTTAAAAAAATACATTCTTTGTAGGTATATAAAAATTTTATAAAACAATTAATTACAATTTACAAAAATACTTATTGGAGTAATATATATATATGATTAATATATTAAAAATTTAATTCAATCATTCTGTATTATTTAATTATCTTTCTTAAGAATCATATATTGTAAGAGTCACTAGAGAGTATAAATTGAATAGTCTTTATTAAATATGTAAACAATTCTTAAAAATAATACTTATAGGCATGATTTAAATAATATAACTAAATATAAATTGCAGTAACACAATTTTTAAAATAATAATAATTAATTAATAGTAAAGTTAAAAATTAATAATAAAGTTTTCATTAGTTTTAAATTTTTTGAATTATTTGAATAATTATGCTCGTATTTTTTTATCTAGATAAATTACATTAGATTACTCAAGATAATTTATCAGATAACTAATTTTGGTTATTATCTAGATAAAATAAAAGATAATTAATTTATATAATTTATCTAGATAATGATCAACTCTACGTAAGTATACAAGTAGAACAATAAAACTAAATAGTTAGTATCACAATATACACAAGATTCGTCCGTATGATTCTATATATACTGTATATACTATTTTATTGTACACTATTTAATCCCCAATAATCTTGAAAGGGAATCCTTTCCTAAAAAAATAAGCAACTATTTATGTGTCTGACTTTAATCCACATAATATTTTTACTAATTTTAAGTATAAAATAACTAGGTATGCAATATTAATATATATTATTATAGGTCTATAGTTATTTATACTTCATAATCTATAAAATTAAATGAAATTTTAACTTTATGGTAAAAGTGTTCTTTTTCAATTTTTTTAAGCAATAAATTTACAATTTTCCATTAATATTTAAAAAATCAAATAATAACTAACTTTGACATAAATAATAAATCATTTTTACATGTTCTATACATTATATTTTCAAATTATGAAAAAACAAATACATATTCAATAAACAAAAATAGTAGTTTCAATAATACTGATATAATAGTACAATATACATAGAAATATTATTTATTTTGATATAAAATTGAATTATTATAAATCATTTGCATGATCCAATTAACAAAATTTAAATTTTACATTATTTATTTATTTATCCATAGGATACTTATATCTATTAGTTTTTCAATTCTTAAAATTAACATCAGTTAAACTAGGTCAAATTAAGAAAGAGTTGGTATCCATAAAAATGAAACCGATCAGTGTTAGTGTGGCCAATCTGGTAACCCCTTAATCGCCAGATCCTAAACTATTTTTCAATATTGGGAGCATAATCAAAGAAGAAAACGAGAATAATAAAAAATAATAAATGTATTTAGGTATATACAATTTTAATGATGGAAATATAAGAAAATTATTGATTTAATCTACTTTTTTAAATAAAATATTTTATTTAAATTGTATTGTATTATCTGTTACAATTAATAGTAAATTATTATTGTTTTTTTTTGCAAGTCAAAACTAAGTTTGAGGTTTAAAAATTAGTTAAAAATTACTATATCTAAGGATCAATCATGAGCCAAACTGATATTGAAACTTATCTAGCTACTCTTAATTAAAAAGACCAAAGAAGCATTAACTGTAAATGCCATAAAGAATTACTTGATTGACATAAAACAATTATAAAAATATTAGAATAACATTATTAAAGAAAATCTTACTAATGTAATTACCAAAATATTAACATATTTAAGTATAACTTATTCAATTTTATTAAGTCTTTATTAACTTATAACCACCCAAATATTGATTTAATATTTATTAATCTACACAATGTTGGTAATCTATGACTTGTAAAGCAATTTTTTATGGCTAATATCCAAATTTTATTACTAAGGAACTGTTTATATACATACATTTATTAAAATAAGATATTTAAAAATTAATAAGAGATGTGTATGATTTAAATCATTATTTTTAAAATGATATAAATTTTGTTATACATAATTTGCATACTTATAACTTTTTTAAATTTTTTTCTAAAAAAATAATAAAGTGTATACCTAATAGTGATAATAATAATGCATAATTAGATTTTAAAAAATTTTGAGCGTATAAATTCAGTCCCTATTTGTTATTTTAATTTATAATAAGCAGCTCATAGGAATAAAAAGCACAATTAATGGTTAATATTTAGGGATTGTTTTAATTAATGATGAGTAAGTATATAGTAATATATTAAAATAAAGATAAATAATGACCATATTATAAATGTTAACTTTTTTAATTTAGCTTTAAATTAAAAAAATAACCATCACAAACTAAGATTATTATAAATTGTAAGTTAAATATAAAATTGTATTTATTATTTTAATCAAATCATAATCATATTATCTTTAATATCTACTAAATCATCATTTTTTATGTCAATGGAATGATGATTAAACAAAGAACTACTGTAAGTTTGGGTTTGAATATTGGTAAATTCTAAATCACCAAATAAACATTCAGATTCAGCAGTCTGAGTATAAATGTCTAAAAAGTCAAAATTGGTTTGTGTTTCAGAATCTAAAAACATTGGATCTGGTTCAATTTTAATACAGTCACCCAAAGGCTCAGTTTGAGTTTGTGCACACAATCTTCTTATTGGACTAGATGTAGCAGAAGAGAGTTTAGGATCATTGTGTCGTAATAAACAGTCTTTATTTTCAAATGTAGTTTGGGTAGATGAGTCTGATAAAATTTGAACATCAGTAATTGTTTGTGTTTGGGCAGATTTCTTACTAGATTCAATATCTTGTAGTTCTGCAAACTCTTGCACATTTTCTGAATTAGGTAATAATTTTCTAGTCTTCAAAAACCTATATAAAACACAAATTAAAATTAAAACGAATAATTTATAAAATACCATTATAAACTAGTGTATATAATTTTACTTTTTATTAATGGAATAAAATTACTCATTACATTTGAAAAATACAAAATTACTTTTCCATTGAAAAAAAATAAAACATTAAATTGTTCGTCAATGAAATGACGTTGTAAAGTCAAATGTGTTGTAAGAAAAATAACATTTTCCTTTTTAATATTTTTAATTTATTTATTTGACAATATAAATATTAAATTTTAAAATAAAAATAATTAAACAAAGTAATTCCTAAATAAAATAGAGATTTTAATGAAAATAAAATTTCGATTATAAAAATAAGAAGACAACGAATTAATGTACATAGGAATAATTATATATTTATTTTTAAATTATTAATCAATTATTTTTTTTTTAAAGCTTTTATTAACAATTCAGCTAACAGTTACAATATATACCTAAAGATATGATACAAAATATTTAAAATAATGATAAATGATATACATAACATAAAGGATTAATGCAACAAGATAATAATAAAGAGATAAATAATACAATAAAGATAAGAGAGACTATTAAATAACCTAACCAGTCACCTTAATAAAAATCAATGAAATTATAAACATTATATTTTTATAATAAAAATTATTTTATCAAAAATTACATAATCTATTTCAAAGCTAAACTAAATAATGATTATTTTGTTTAAAATATGATTTTTTTTCAACAATGAGTAATTTGCATTATGTTTTAAAATATATTTCTAACCTCATAATAGTTGAGTATCCAAGTCCAATATTGTGTTGTTTTCTTTTTGTATGAGTTAAGAAAGCTTCTGGAGATTTATATTTAATTCCGCAATAACAAGAATATATAACTCCACATGTTATTCGGTGTGATTTTAATGTTGATTCTAAAGGAAAGCCTTTTTCACAGTTATCACACTTATATTTTTTATCCGAATGCACTTTGATACAATGCTAAAAATTATGATACAATATACAATAGGTAAGCTGAGCTAATATTTAAATACATATATAGGACTTACTTGTTTAAGAAGTTTTTGAGTTTTAAATGATTTCACAGATTGCCCAAAATTTAAGTTGTACTTACAACCTAAAACTGGGCAGTAAAATGTATCATTGATAAGTCGACTGTTATTTTGTTTTATATCATTCTCTGTCAGCACCATAACTAAGCAATTTTTGGACATACCAAACATAAATTTAAGATTTGAATATTTATAATTGGTGTTTGATTTCTTCAATAATTCTGATTATAATAAATCAAATGTATCTATTACAAATCTTCTTGAAAATAACACAAAACCTTAAAAATAATCAAATAATAAAATTAATATGACGGACAAATAATTTATAACTCAAAACAATCAAGATAACTTGCTAGTGGAATTTAATGAGAAGCCATTTCAATCTATTCTGTGCTAATATCACATATATTATAAGTCTATGATCACAGATTACATTAAATTGATAAAATATATATCACATATGATAATGTTATAATTAGATAGTAGAATCGTTGAACTCTATATGATAACTGGAATGCTCACCAGTAGTGATGGGCAAATTTTTCTAAATATCGATATTGAATATCGATACATTTTAATATAAAATCAATACACTTTAATATCGAGCAATAAAATATCGATATTTGATATCGATATAAATTATTTTTACCAATTAAATAAAAAAAGTAAGTATACTGAATAATTTTGCTATTAAAGAATGGGTGTATACTTTTATATGATATAAAATTGATTGCATCAAAATAAAAATAATTATTTTTATTTAAATTAATTTCAATTTTAATTTTCCGTCCTCATACAGAATTTCATTATAATTTTTAATTAAAAAAATAATAAATAAAACAAATTTGTAACAATATATTATTATTAAAACCAAATCAAAATTTAAAATATAAAATAAGACTGTGTAAAAGTATATAAATAACACTTAATATTTATAACATAATAATATTCTTTTGAGAAAAGAAAAATAACAACATCAAACTTGAGCATATAAAAATAATAAATATATTTTTAAAGATCCCAATACATTGCTGGTATTGTTTGTAAAAAACACAGCTTAGAAATCCTACTTTCAGAAATACGGTTTCTTTTTTCCGTTATTAAGTTTCCAGCTTTTGAAAAAAGCCGTTCAGAAGGAACGGAAGATGAAACTGTTGATAGGTATTTTTGAGCTACAACATATAAATGAGGAAATACTGTTTTGTATGATTCCCAAACAGCTAAAACATCATTATTTATATTTATCAATGGTAAATATAAGTATTGTTTAAATTCTGCTTCCATGGTTGAATTAGAACTTTCAAGTATCTGTGATGATGCTAGATATTTAACCTTCTTGTGATAATTCCATATATCACTATTATTGTCCACTAAATTATCATTCACATTTTCTTCGGAATTTAACCTGAAATTAAAACATAATATACTAAATTAAAGAAAAAATTGCTAAATTTTATTATTTTTAAATACCTTGAGTTGGAAACGTAAACATTTTCAGCAGATATCATCTGTCTTATTTCTTTGTTAACTATTTGTAGCACATTTGATTTAGCCAAAGGTTTTTGGAAATGAATGGTTTTGAATCTTGGGTCTATTAATGTGGCTATAGATAACAATTGAATAAATTCGATTTTTTGGAAACGTTTTTCAATTTCTTTTTTAAGTTCAATTTGAAGTTTTTGACCTATTTCTGTAGTAGCTTCTAAATTTCCAACTTTATTTTCCAATGTGTGCACTAGAGGAATAACTTTACTAGAAGTTATGTATTCTTGTCCAGACACTTCTTTAGTAACTATTTCAAACGGCTGCAATAGATGCAATAAATCTTTTATATCATTTAATTCGGCTGTTGAAAGCATTTCAGGACCATTAGGTATTTCGAGTAAAACAGAAGAGATTTTTGGAGCCAATATTTTGAAACGTTCCATCATATAATATGTTGTATTCCATCTTGTTGGTACTTCTTGCTTTAATTTTAAAATGCATCCTCCATGTTGACATTTAGTCAACATGTCAGCAGCAGTAATACTATGCTTGAAAAATGTTACTATTTGTTTTACTTTTTTAATCAATAAAACTAATTTTGGAACATTTGAGATTGCCCTTTGAGGAATGAGATTAAGCATATGTGCAAAACAATGTAAGTGTCGTAATTCTCCAAAAAGATCATTACTTGCTTTTACTATGTTTGCACCACCATCCGTAACAATACATACAACTTTAGAATTGGAAATATTCCAAGATTTTTGAACTTTGGTTATGGTTTCTCTTAAATAGTCAGCTGTGTGTCGCTCAGATAGCGGATGTACATCCAATACTACAGAAATTGCAAATTTTGTATAAAATGCATAGTAACTCCTAAGTAGCTTTTACTATTTAAGATATCAGTCCAGGCGTCTGTTGTTAATGTAATATTTTGAACAGAATCTATAAGATTTCGGTATACCTCAGTAATCATATCATACTTATTATCTAACATCCTGGTTATACTTCTTCAGCTAGGTAACTTGAATAATGGAGTAGCAACTTTTGAGTAAGCTTGAAAACCTTTTTCTGTTATATTAAGAGGTAGACCATCTTTGGCAATCATGAAAACTAGTGCATTAGAAAGTTTTGAATACTTAGTACCTCCTTCTGAAATTAATTTATAAAACACATAATTATTTTATGTTACTTAAATTTGGTTCTTTAACTTTGTATAAAGAACTAAAATAGCAATATAATATTTAAAATATCAATAATTTTACTAAATATATATAAAAATATATTACAACAAGAAAAAAAAAATACATTAAAAACTTATATTTTTTTTACTTAAGCTAATTTCTCATCTTAAACAACTGGTAATATTCATACAAAAAAATTGCAAATTTACTAAGAATTTGTTATTTTTTAGTTTGATAATTATTTATAGAATTTAACTTTGTAAAGGTACCTTCCTAATAATTACTATTTTATACTAATATTTTTGAGTATATATTTTAATATTATTTATATTTAATAGGTACCTGAAAAAGATTCAATTGAACAAAATGTTTCGTTTATTGGCATCTGGATTAGTCTTTTCTTATTTGGTGTTACTGATGTTGTTGGTGTTGATGATACTGCACATCCACTAAAATATAAATATTTAGGTAATAATCTAATATGAGTTAATTTTAATTTAATGAACTTACAATTCCAAAGTAGTCTCAGAACCAGAAAATATTGAAGGATCATCCTCTAATTGTTCTTCGAGTTCTTTATGAGTTTCCATATTTTTTATAGAATCTGGTATAAAAACACGGTCAATAGGAACTAACATGGATGTCATTGGAATTGAACTAAAATATAAATTGAATATAATTTTACCTTTTCTAGTATATTACACTAATTTACTTCATTTATGTAATATTTACCTAAAAATATTTAATCCCGAATGGTTTCTTTCCAAATGTTTTTTTAAATTTGTTGTGTTTCCACTTGTTTTAACATTTTTAAAACAAATTTTGCATCTTGATGTCATCAAATCAATTACGTCAAAATTAGTTTTAACGTTTTTGTATAAATTATTTTCCGACATATTTTTACATTAAAGACACAAGAAAATCACGGTAGACATGGACGGAATACAGAGAAATGATAATGATTTAACGAATAAACTATATTTTTACGGTCGCCAGGGTATAAACTATAAATACATGTATAATAGCATAGAGAATATTCACAAATTATCATTGTTGATTTGCCGTTTAGAAATAGGAAAACCAAAATATGTAATCTATTTTTATTTACACGGACCTGAAATTATTGAATTTAAAAAAACCGGTATCAGTAGGGCTGAAATATCGATAAATATCGAAATGTATAGAAAAAGAAATATCGATCCAAAATATCGATATAAATTTATTAAAATATCGATATTTCGGAAAAATAGATTTTTTTTGCCCATCACTACTCACCAGTCATAAGACTAATGCAAACATAACCGATAGAGCACGGCTTAAGATATACAATTGAACCTCATTAATCCGGACCTCATATCCGCGAGTTAATCATTAAAGAAATCACTGTGAAAAGAAGACAACCAAAGATTAGCAGTTTTTTTAAACCTGTAAGCGTGTCAAGTGTGAATAATGAAGTTGAGTCTTAATATGTAATGTATTTATTATGTAATGATTATAAAACAATAATGTACTATTTGTTAGATTTAATATTTTAAGACATACATATTAATTAGATTAAAACTTGTATAATAAAATATCTAATACATTTTTTTTAAATTTATAATTTACGATTTTTGGTTATTTCGTTTAATCCGGACTCTCATTAATTCGGACAACTTAGAGCCCTGATTAGTCCGGATTATTGAGGTTCTAATGTACTTACATTTATATATCTTAAATCGTGCGAGAGAGCGTGTTAGAAAAAATTAGAACAATATTCTATTCGATGAAGAACAATACGAATTTTTAGAACGCTTAGCCACTGACCATAATAAAGAGCTGGAGACAGATGGATTAATAGAAGAGAAAAATTACTGCCAGGAATATATTTTAGCAGACTTAAATATGGAACGAATAGAAGCACGTATATTTTGGTAAATAATAAAATCACCCATGGAGTGGCTTATTCGAAACGAAAATCCCGGATATCCGTGTTGGAACGGAAAGAGACTGGAATATGATGTGGGACTGGATGTGTTAATATCATGTTTAGGAGTGTTTAAAACGGGACGAGACGTAACGTCAACAAAAGAAAAGGCCGATGTATAAACTTTACTATCCTTAATTTTAACAGCTTCCTTAAAAGTAATTTTATTTATAACCATTAATTTCTTGAGGTTCTTTTGACGAATCCATTCGGGACACGACCGATCAAATGGAACATGAGAACCATGACAGTTGACACAAACGGCGAATACACTAGGCAATGAGCGGATGAGACAGTCTGACGGTAAATGATCCACAGAAGCGCAAAAGTCACATTAATTCGAAAGCCAAATTTTTACATAGAAATGAATTGTTAAAATTATATAATGACGAGTATGTTTTAGGTAAACGATGTTTACTGGACAATACTGATCCCAATTTAGAGATGAAAATAATACTTAAACACGACCAACCTATTTCCTACAAAGCACGACGTATATCATATAGTGACTGTGAAAAGTTAAATACTATAATGGATGATTTGTTGAAAGAGGGTATACTCGTAATTAGATCGAGTAGAAGTCCGTACAGTAGCCCAATTGTATTAGTGCGAAAACAACAGGC